CTTAGTCTTTAATTTAAAGAGAAGTAACTGAACACAGGGCCCAGCAGGATTTCTCCTTGTTGTGTAGGGTGGTGTGTGAGCCAGGCTCGACTTCCTGGCACCTAACAACACCAACAACACAACACAACCAACAGTAAGTGTCCTATGAAAACATTCTGTGGAACAAAGGACAGGGAACATGGCTTTGAAGACTCAGGGAAAGAAAAACACAACAAAACTGACTTGCTCCAGGAATATGAAGAAATAATGAAACTTGCAAATGCTTTGGCATGCTTCAGAGGACTGAAAATGACGTGATTGCTAGCCATGAGGGCAGAAAAGTTGAAAAGATTTTAGAATAAGATGGAAAGGGAGGAGATTATAGAAAAAAATCAGGGATATTAAAATAAAGAAGTAAACATCTACAGCAGAAGCAGTAAATTGCAGCATTAATGTGGCAGAAAAGGGAGGCAACGATATAAGGCAATCCTGCTGTCTTAGGATGGATAGCTGAAAGAACAAGGCAATGGAAATGAGTGGTCTAGAGGACCAGGGAGCTTTTCTTTAATAATTATAAATATTTCTGAAGGCGATTCCAGAACAATTCGGAAGGACAGGACTCATTGGTGCTGATGATAGTCATGAAAAGAGCAAACATTTGGAATTAAGGGTATAAATAAAATAATATTGATTAGCATTGAACCTGAAGGAAGTTATTAATAAAATCAAATAGAACCCATGGAGAATTGCCCCATAGGATTCCCAAGGCTGTAAATCTTTTAAAAAGCAGATAGTCACATATTTCTCCCAGGGAGCAGCTGATGGGTTCCAATCAATAACCTTTTAAGCTCCCAGCCCTGTGCCACCAGCATTCCTGGAGTAATTTACAAAGCAATAAACATCTGGCTGATCTCAGGCCACTCCCTACTAAGAAATTCCAGAAGACAATAGAAAGTAAGCTACAATTCATTTTCGTAGGGGTGGGGGAGGCAGGGTAAAAGATTTTAAGAGTAGAATTTTCTGCACAACTAAAATGTGTCTAAGAAGAAGTATGGCCAGAATGCTCCTTAGAGGCAAGGATGGCAAGACTTCGTCTCACGTACTATGGACACGTTGTCAGGAGAGATAGTTCCCTGGAGAAGGACAGCATGCTTGGTGAAGTAGAGGGGCTGCAAAGGCGAGGAAGATGGATTGACCCACTGGCTGCTACAGTGGATTCAAACTCAAAAACACTTGGGAGGCTGGCACAGGACCAGGCAGTGTTTCATTCTGTTGTAATCAGGGTTGCTATGAATTGGAAGCAACTCCCTGGCACCTCACACTAACAAGAGCAACCTGTGGACACACAGCGGAGTCACCCCCTATATCCAAAGGTGCAACAAGGGGAACACTCATGCAACTGTCTTGAAACCATGATGGGATGCCCTGATGAAAATTTGCATTTCGGCTCCAGATATACTGTATCAGAATCTATATGTTTAATAAGATCTCATGTATACATAAGAATCACCTGGGGATCTTTACAAATTACTTGGGGAATCCCGATAAAATGTAGAGACTGATTCAATTTAGGAGCATCTGGCATGAAAAGGCAAATTTTCCGTCGGGTTTCAAACCAGAATGAATTGGTTCGAAACCCTGATCTGAAGGTATGTATGTACTGGACACCTGAAAGATCCGAGCGAGGAAGAGGTTCTAGATTACATGTTGTTTCTGGCACTAGGACAGTGTTATAACTAGGGGCATACCTAAGGAAAGAAGACCATTTCTAATAGCAGATATCACTTACACCAGCCTATTCTCAGCAAACTGGAAGCATCCAAACAATTTTTCTTGTGCCATGCTAGGGCGAATTCCAAACTATATGTTTATTTACACAGTTGAATGACTTGGGTTTAGCTTCTGTTTCTTGCTTGATTTTGTTTTGAAAATGTCAATATAATTATACCAACTTATAAAAAACAAGACCAGACCCAGCTTTTCTCACACACTGGGTTGAGCTAAGGAGCCCAGCAGGAGCTCTGGTGGCATAGTGGGTTACACATTGGGTTGTATCCCATAAGGCCAGCAGTTCGAACCTATCAACTGCTCTTTGGGATAACAAAGAGGTTGTCTACTCCTTTAGAGAGCTACAGAAACCCAAACGGACAGCTCTACTCTGCCCTATGGGGTTGCAATGAGTCACAATCACTCAATGGCAGGGAGGTTTGTTGGTATTGTTGCTTTGGGGTGGAGCCCTGGGTTATGGTTAATGTGCTCAGCTACTAACGGGAAGGGTGGAGATTACAGTCCACCTGGAGGTGGCTGGAAAGAAAGGCCTGTGGTCAGCTGCTGAAAAGCCATTGAAAACCCAGTGGAGCTCAGTTCTACTCTGACACACGCATGGGTCATCAGGAGTGGGCATGAACTTGAGGGCAGCTGGCTTGGGCTAGGTTAGCCTCATTCAAGGGTTACTTGCAAAATATTGACTGGTAAATTATGAAGATGTACAGATGTGACCCAAGGACACTCTGCCAGAGGGTATAATTTAGAAGGAACACCTCCCACCCCACCCCCCCACCCCCCACTAATTGTATTACTTTTACAAATGTGATTTGTGTGATTAGTAATATTTCAACAAGCCACTTAAAATAAAGCCATCTTGTATTCCAGATGTCTCTAAGTCTCATCATTTATGGGCACATCTCTGTGTCCGCAGTCAACACACATCTGAAATGTAGGCAGTACCCTGGGGAGCACCATGATGCAGAGAACAAACATTGAAATCAGACCTGGTTGAAAACTTTCATCTTAATATGACCGAATGATTGAACTGTATGAATTGAGACAAAACGAAGATGGTACCATGAACAGGTTGAAGTGGGAGAGTTGGTTCTGGAATGTGTATAGACTGTTCCGTGAAACCGATGACCTGGTCTGCACACCTTCACCTAAGTCCCAATGGAAAAGTTTAAAACAAAATAACCCCACACAAAACTTTCATTTCTACTTTCATTTCCTCAGACCGGTGACTTAATCTCTCCAGATCAGTTTCTTCATTTGAAAAATGGAGATTATGAACATTTATAGAGGTCTAAATACAGGCATGCACTTATGTAAATATAGTTATGTGTAAGGATAGGGAAATAGATCGATGTACATATATTCATATGTTAAGTATTAAGGTAGCAGATGGACATTGGGCCTCTACTCAAGTACTCCCTCAATGTAAAAACACTTTGTTCTAATAACTTGGTACTTTATGACACTATCACTGAAGACAAAGCGGGTGCATAAGCAAATGTGATGAAGAAAGCAGATGGTGCCCGGCTATCTAAAGATATAGCATCTGGAGTCTTAAAGTCTTGAAGATAAACAAGTGGCCATCTAGCTGAGAAGCAACAAAGTCCACATGGAGGAAACACACCAGCCTGTGTGATCATGAGGTGTCCCTGAGATCAGGTACCAGGCATAAAAAACCCAGAACAAAAAAATCTTATCAATGTGAATAAGGGGGAGTGCAGAGTGGAGACCCAAAGCCCATCTGTAGACACTTGGACATCCCCTTACAGAGGGGTTACAAGGAAGAGATGAGCCAGTCAGGGTGCAGTATAGCACTGATGAAACATACAAATTTCCTGTTTCTTTAATGCTTCCTCCTCCCAACTATCATGACCCCAGTTCTACCTTACAAATCCAGCTAGACCAAAGCATGTACATGCGTACAGATCAGAGCTGGAAACATAGGGAATCCAGGACAGACAAACCCCTCAGGACCAATAATGAGAAGTAGCGATACCAGGAGGATAAAGGGAAGATGGGGGGAAAGAGGAGGACCCGATCACAATGATCTACCTATTACCCCCTCCCAGGAGGATGGACAATAGAAAAGTGGGTGATGGGAGACATCGATCACTGTAAGACGTGAAAAAAAAATTATCAAGGGTTCATGAGGGAGGGCGTTGAGGAGGGGGGAAATGAGCTGATACCAAGGGCTCAAGTAGAAAGAAAATGCTTTGAAAATGATGGCAACATATGTACAAATGTGCTTGATACAACGGATGTATGTATGGATTGTGATAAGAGCTGTACGAGTCCCCAATAAACTGATTAAAAAAAAGAAAAGAAAAATGGAGATTAATGCTGATCTCCAGGAGAGTGAGAATGACGCCGTTAAGGCACTGGACGCATGATCTGTCAATGAACAGCAGAGGCCTAGCAGTGCAGCGCATTAAGCAGTGAGCAAGGCCTGCTGTTCCGAACCACCGGCATCCGAGGGAGGAAGAGGAGGTTGTCTGCTCCTGTCCAGATTTACAGTCTGCGAAAACCTCTGGGGCTTAAGTGGGGTGTGGGGGGCAGGTGGTGGCTAGAAGCGGGGTTATTATTCATATTATAGTCACTACCATGTGTATGGGCTGTAGGGATAGGCGACCGACTTCTTTGTCTCCTTCAGGGCTGCTCACTTGTCCAGGCACTGTGACCCCAGATCCCTTGCCCATTGTCACGATTGTCACCGCATGACCCATGACAAATCTAAAATCTCCAGGCCCAAAGACTGTCGCCCTGGAAAGCTAAAATCAAAGGCACGCAAGCGCCCTTCGACTCGCACTCCCCTACCGGCGGCCTGCTCGCTTCAGTGGGTGTCTTCTCCTGCGTGTCCCTGGGCCAGGTTGGCGCTGCCTCCTGGAGGCCGCCGTCTGGCCGGGGTGTCCCGGTCACGCTTCCGCCATCCCGGCCGGTCACCCTTCAGGCTGGCACCTGGGGAGTGCTCGGCGTGGGCAGGGCTCCCTGAACCTCGGAGCCAGGGCTCCAGGGACAGCTGCTCCGTGTCCCCCGCCCCCAGCTCGGCTGGAGGGGGCCGGACACCTGGAGGACGCCTCCAATCCCCGCAGGGCGCCCCGCCCGCCGCGCCCCCGGCGCCCGGGAATAAGAGCGCGCGCCAGGCGGGCGGCGGGCTGGGCTCCGGAGGACAGACGGACAGACGGCTCACGCGCGCGCAGGGCACCGGCGACGGGGACAGGGACGGCGACGCGGGCGCGGGCATGGGGGCGGCGCGGGGCATCGGCACCTTCGTGGTGTGGGACTACGTGGTGTTCGCCGCGATGCTGCTCATCTCGGCCGTCATCGGCATCTACTACGCCTTCGCGGGGGGCGGCCAGAAGACCTCCAAGGACTTCCTGATGGGCGGCCGCAGCATGACGGCCGTGCCCGTGGCGCTGTCGCTCACCGCCAGCTTCATGTCGGCTGTCACCGTCCTGGGCACCCCCTCCGAGGTCTACCGCTTTGGGGCCATCTTCACCATGTTCGCCTTCACCTACTTCTTCGTGGTGGTCATCAGCGCCGAGGTCTTCCTTCCCGTCTTCTACAAACTGGGGATCACCAGCACCTACGAGGTGAGGGCGCGCCGGGACGACCCCTGGAGGCTCCCCGGGGAGCATTCCGTGGGCGGGGGTGGGGTGGGGTGGGCGGCAAGCTCGGTCACTGGGTCCCAAAGTCTGCCCC